AAAACGCGCCCTTTTCAGAGGAAATTTCATTTATTATTTACGAATCTAGTAGTAATCAATTATGCTCATTTCCACGGCCTCGAAAAAGGGATAAAGCAAGACACTTACCCTCTCCCCTTACTGCGCCCTGAAAAATGGTGACATGTGTATAACTATGACGTAACAATGTCATTCTCACGTTATGATTCAATTAATATTAAAACTATTGTTTTTAAACTCGTTCCCGGCGATTTGGTGCTGCCTATTAGCACAGATCTACACATACACAGATTGCTAACCTTATGCATTTTTTGGGAAACAAATTTAGGTATACTTAAAAGCGCCCTCTATTGCGGAGCAGTATAAACATGTATCGTTTAAAACTGTAATATGACGCTTATGGATTTATGCGTTAGATGTCGCTGAAACAAAATTAAAGCGCTAAAGTTTGCACAATTCGAATTCCTTAATATTCGTATTATTACAGTGGTATGATATGATAGGAGGTACGTTGAGCCATAATTGTTTAATTTAACACTGGAGCTACTCATTCGTCGTAAGGAAGTTATTAAAAGCGGGTCCCTGTGGTCACAGATACACACGAACATAGGGCAGGTTCTTAAAGAATCGTGAAGGTTTTTTGAAGTTGGCGGACACTATTTGCGGCTTGAAAGGTCTTGACAGATTGCTAACCGCAAAGGCATACTTACAAACTAAGTATATCTCTGCCATCATTAACGTTACACTCTTTACCACGCCGATAAGATATAAGATAGGGAGGTTATTTTCGAAAAGTTGATAGTTTTCGAGTTGTAAGCACAAAACTGCTAAAAAAATATCTTATTCAACTTTTTTTGTATTTTTTTCAATGTTGCGTCATGAAATTTTGTTAGCAAACCTCAGATTCGGATTCAGCACCCCAAAAAACATATAGAATCAAAGAAATCAAAAGTACCCCACAACTTTCCTGGTAAAAATACAATTAAACTGGATTATATGCACACTTTACCGCTTTAAATTTTTTGCAGCGACATCTAATGCGTAAATCCATAAGCGTCATATTACAGTTTTAAACGGTACATGATTATACTGCTCCGCAATGGAGGGCGATTTTAAGTATACCTAAATTTGTTTCCCAAAAAATGCATAAGGTTAGCAATCTGTGTATGTGTAGATCTGTGCTATTAGTCAATGGAGTGTATCTATTTTTTTCCCGTTCCCGTGTAATTTCGAGAAGTGCTTTTGGAGAGTACACCTTGACGCTTTCCAAGAGGCATACGTTCTACGTAAATGTCAGGTTCCTATCTTGCGCAGTTTCGACTGTAAAACGTATAATCCCGTTTTTCCCCGTTCCCGTTGGAATTTCTGAAAGTATTTTATTAAATGGGAAATCTTCGCGGGCATATGTCCAACAATTCCTCAAAGATTCATTTTAATCGGATGAACGGTTAAGAAATGCATAAGAGACATACAGACAGACAAACATTCATTTTTATTTATACATATAGACTTCAAACTTTATAGAAACAGCAGGTCTCGAGGGTCTGTGTGACATCCTACATCAACGATCATCATTAGTTTGGCGAAATGTAGAAATGCTAAATAATAAATGAAATTTAAAAAAAAATCTGCATCGCCCTGGAATTGATTCCGAGCCGCCATTTCTTCAAATCATATTCTAATGACATATTTGGCAAGGTGTCAAGGTGAGACGGACTATGGATAATTTATAACTTTGATATAATATAGCTCAGAAACCATTGGAAACCATGGAAAAATCTTTCATCCACAACTTGTAGAGAATTTAATCCTCTACAATTTGTGTAGTAGGTTTTTTTTTGATAAAGCAACCGAAAAGGAGATAATGGCCCGTATGAATAAAAGGAAGCATATGCTTACACTTGCAAAATGCAAAGTAAATACACGGAAGTGCCCCTTCATACTGGTCTGTTGCTCAGCAGCGCTGCTAAGTTACCCGGTGTGAAGGAGCACTTCCGAGTATTTACTTTGAATTTTGCAAGTATAAGCATTTGCTTCCTTTTATTCATACGGGCCATTGCCAAAAAACTGATTTTCATCGCCGTTTCCCAGGACAGTACGATGTCGCGAACTTGATATGATGTTCTGGACGTAAAACTGAACTCCCCGATTTAAAGCAAGGTAAAACTCCCCTTTGCCTGGACTAATACGAGTTTTGAAGTAGATGAAGATAGCTAAAGAGAAAAAAAAGAAAGCAGTTTCATCACTGATGAATGTCCGGAATGAAAAATGGTGGCATGGTTTTTGAGTTATGTCCACACTCCACAACCTGAGACGTACAGATAGCAGAAGAACAGAACTGAATGTACAGGAGTTGACGGATGCAGAAACGTTTGTTATAAAAGAAGTACAAACAGAAGAATTTTTGAGTCTGGAAGACAACAAGATACACAGAGATACAGAGGTTTAAATAGAAAAGACACTAACGATTTTCGTTGGCTTGTAGTTTTACCGACCAAAAACCACACAGTTTGCAATTGAATCATGAACACACATCGAAGAAATTGTCATATTGGAGTCCAGAGTTTAGAAGGATCTATAGAAGATTATATGCGAAACACTTTATTGTGGAATCAATCCCGGTTACCAGTGGATAGAGTTAATGTACGGATTTTGAGAATATTGGATTTTTTCGGGCTTATGTTTTTGAAGGACGGTAAAAGAGCATGGTGTTGTCGTTTTACCTGTGCCGAGTGATAACTTATAACTGACTATATCATTATCTACTCTTAATTTTTTACAAGTGCTATACGACTAGCTACGTAGATTCATTGCTCGATGGCCATGGCGTAGACCAAAAATGCTATATAGTGATAACGACAGGCCCGTATCCAGGAAATTCATTCGAGAGGGGCTGGATTTCCAATTGATCACATATTTACATTTGTAAACGATGTTTACTAAGCCACATTTATAAACCTACAGCTATCACTCATACTGCAAACCGTCTTGACGAGGCGCGGAGGATGCCTTCAGTAAAATTTTTAACTGAAGCCCTCTGGCTACGTGCCTGGATAACGGGACAAATTTTCGTGGTTTGGACAATGTTTTTGCAACTCTATGCATTATCCCATATTGGATCTTGGCGGGGAGGATTTTTTGAGAGCTAATCGGGATAATTAAACGTCTGTTAAGAACAATTTTGAATAAAGCTTTAGACTATGAAGAACTTTTGACTCTTTTGTGCGACTATGAGGCAGTGGTGAATAATAGACATTTGACTTACGTCTCGAATGATCCAAATGATCCTGGACTTTTGTCACCCGCAATGTTCTTACGTGAACAGGTTAATAATAGTGTGGCTGATTGTGACCTAATTGAAAAGACTTGTTTATCGCGAAGCTTCCGGAGCAAGCAAAAAATTCGTGAATATTTGAGAAACAGATTTAGGTCCGAGTATTTAGGGCAGGTTAAGCCTCTTAGTGAACGGAAGCTTACGCCTACTATTACGTTGGGTGAGATAGAGTGTTTATAGGGAATAACGTTTCTAAACGTGTGGAATGGCCGGACATTTTACTGAGAAAAGCCAGTAAAATTCGACTAGTTGGAGTACGTACTCGAATGGATAGTGATTACGTCTGGTGCAACGTTTATATCCTTTGGAATGTAGTTTGAGAAAAGTTGTTGTTTATGAGAGAAAAAAAAAAGGAGAAGGTAGAGAAAGAAAGAAAGGGAGAAAGAAAGAAAGGAAGCGAGAGAGAGACTCGAAAATAAAGTCAGTTCTATTCTATTCGATTATTATTTAGATTTTCCCTGTAAAAGGGGGTCTATAAAGGTTTTTTTTGCGTTTTTCTTTTTAGTACACGAGTAGTAACAAATATCTTGTCATGATAAACCGGTTTCTAAAAGAAACCAACATCGCCAGTTAAGAATACGGTTAACATACTCGGTTTTCATCCTTGGATGGTCCTGGATTTACTAACACCATTATTCCTTGAAGGATGCTCTCTTTTCTGACTATTTGAAAGTGGAGAAAGCGTCGGTTTTATAAATTTTATAAATTTTATTTTATAAATATAATATAAATAACGAGAGCTATTTTTGAAAATTTTCCGAAATTGTTTAAAAGAGAAGTACAGAACTGGTGCTATATTAATCAGTGCGATTGTACTTGGAGAATTTTGTAATGATAATTTGTCTCTTGGAGAACTTTTGGGAAAGTGAAGCTCGCAAGTTACTGTTATTACATTGTGGAAGAATTCGTTCAAATTTCCGAGCCGAGTTCCCAACAAAATAGGGAAATGAAAATTTTCTTTTTTGCAACTAATTATCGGCAACAAACACAGCATATAATGAGCTATACCTACATTTTTGAAGCGCTATTGCTAGCTTTATATACTTATAATAGTTATAGGTAGTGTATTACAAATGAATTTAGAAAAATTTAAAACTACTTTATAATCTGCTGAATTGTCATTTGCGCAGTATACCCTGTAAAATAAACTTGAGCAGAATCTGCCAATCTTCCGTTTGCATTGGAAAATATGCACTTCATTTTTGTGCCAATTACGTGCATGTTTACCCCTCACTTTAAATTTCAAACTAAAGCTTCTCGAACCTTTGCAAACGTAACTAGACGGGTAAATAAGAACGATTTTTACAAATTCACATTTGTTGCTCATCTGCAGTTAGCAATGAATTGGATTAAATTCTAAATATGCCCATTGCAAATCGCGACTGGCATTTCAAAGCAAATTGCCAGATTTATACTTAACTCCTTAATCCCTTTGTACATAATTCTGTTTGAAAACGCTACTTTAGAGTGCCATAACTATCTCCAATTCATTTAACGCGCAGGTACTGTGTAATTTTCGAGATAATCCACACTTTGTGGATTTAATTGCATTAAAATTAAAAATATATTATTTTACGCAACAAATGAGCGTTTTTCGATTCTTTTATTGCAATACATACTAAAACCGAAAAACTCGACTAGCTACGAATGTAACTTATAGCTACGTGTCGTGTAGAAAGCTGCTCACCCGCTCTTCCACGGCAACTTTTCGGGATTTCCACACAAATTCGCAAACGGCAATGACGCATGCGATTCCCATACCTCCCATGAGAACGACAAAGACGCCGCCAATGTTTGCTAGTCCCAAAGCGTTCGCTGTGCTGCTGGTTTTTGTTGTTTCATCCTGAAATTCAATTAAACGTGATGTTTATGCATGTCTTTTTGTTGATTATTAATATAAGTTTATAATTAAATGCCACTGACAATATTCGAAAATCCAATTATTTATCGGCAGAAATATATTTCCCCATAGGTTGTATCTGAGTCTCCAAGTTTAAATTACATTCGATTTTAAAATTGACGTACTTCTAGAAAAAGTATCTCAAGGGGTAGTACTTAAATAATCTTCAAAAATTCGATCGTCACGATGTATTTATTACATGTACTTTATATTAAAAAAAACTAATCCACTGTACTTGCACGAGAAATATCACGGAAAACACAAAATGCCTGTAGATAATAACTTTAGATATTTTGGTGCCCAAAAATTTGTGTTTCACTGGTTACTTTGTATTTGTTGGTGTTGGCAGACATCGCGACTATATACCGCAATCAAATAGCAGTAAAAATAAAAAAAGGAAATAAGTAAAGTAACCCATACAGTACCGAATATCAATAGGATATACGCTTTATGTCAGCATCACATCCTAATATCTATGGACTTAAACAGGATGTTTTATGGATTGGATATCCATTTGTGAATATCCTTCAGAAAAGATATCCGATGGATGTCCAAAACAAGTTCATCATTTGTATGTGTGGTGGTACTGCAGGCGGCGGCGCCCTTAAAAACTAAAAATCTTTTAGAAATACCATATACATAAGTATACGTGTTTAACACGAATAAGGGTCTCTTTTAAAAAACGCAATACTCCGGGACTTGCGTCATGACCATTGGTTCCAAATTGATTGATTTTATTTTTCTTAGGTTGTCGAAGTTTCTAAAATTTATTGTTGGGAAACCTCCATATGAACATGTCAGAAGAACATCGTGTCAATTTTTAGCTGATCTCTCGCAGAATAGCTAAGCATTTAAAGCTTGCCGATATTATTATAGGTACCTATGTAATTTATTACTACAGCTAACGTAAAAATTTATTTTAATTAGAATCTGCCTTACAAAATAAAATCGCAAATACAAAAAGGAGGTGGAAGAAGCAATTAAAAATTGGCTGAGAAGGGCGAAGTGAGAGCAGAAAGTAAAGTGAAAAATAAAAAGTCTACAATAGTTTGTAGTATGTTTTAAATGTTTTGTTATTGTAATTTAGAGAAGTGTTCATACATTATATTCTTTTGTCATGAAGCTAGCTTATTTTTTTTATTTGAATTGCATAACAGCCTTGAATTATTCTTCATTAAGGCCCGGTTGTATAATGTCAGTTTAAACTTCAGTTTACAGTTGAGTTGTGGGTTAAAGGATTTGATTGGCTAATATTTCACAAGTTGGTCAATCATATTTCTTAAATCTGTCGGATAAACCAAACTGAAGTATAACCTGACATTGTACAACCGGGCCTTAACGTTCAAAAGTATTATATACGGATATTCATAAGATATTCGCTTTTGGACATACTTTGGAAGTCCAAAGTTGTGCCAAATGGACATCCACAGAAGATCTTATGAATATCCGCCGGACTTAAAATGGATGTCCTATGGATTTTCGTATATCCATAGTGGGAAGTGCAATGGATATCTTATGGATATACGTGTGCTGTATGGGAAATAGTGACCAAAAATGAAATGTAATTTCTCCTTTGCTCAAGTATTCACAGCCAAATTGACATTTCCAATAAATTATCCTTTCATTGCAGAGTTATTTACTGTCATAATTTCAAAATAGGAAATTCTAACATGTGCTTGCCGTCAATTTGTCTTGTGGAGCATCTTCTTAAGACAATTTGACTTGAGATGTCCGAATTCGTGACAGCTATAACACTTCACAGTTTTCTTGAAGTCACCAAACCTTGGTTTCCTCCAGATCCACTTGCTGTTCTACAATGGTCCCGCAAAAAGCCCCCGAACTATGTGAAAATATTGGATTTGGGATAAGTGTACAATGCTGTTGGATACCGGTGCAACGAACGCCATCGTAAGACCTGTCCTAGTTCCGGAGAAAAAACTGCAATCATCAAAAGTGAGGTTGAAGACGGCAACTGGTGATCAAGCGCATGTGCTGGTAGAGCTGACGGTCGATATTGGTATTGGATTCAAGACGCATCAAGTGTTGGTAGCAGAGAAAGTCGATGAGGTGATTTAGGGAATAGACTTTATGAGAAAAGTTGAGTTTAGGACAGACCTAAAGAATAGAGTTGTGAGAGTAGACCATGAAGAAACTCCTATTCACAGAGAAGGCTTCTACGTGTTACGCTTGTGGATGATGTCACTCATTAGTGTTGCGAGAAAGCAAAGGGCACGCTTTGGCTCACTGCGTAGTCAAGGACGTCAAGATTTCCACGGGTATTTCCATAGAATTCAAGTGCCGGTTTGGGCGGTTAATAGCAAACAACCTGCAACGTTCCCAGGTGGGTAAAGTGTGTTCCCTACAGGAGCAGGGGCGATTTCTTTGCTATCTGGTAACAAAACGCCGGTCTTGTGACAAACCTGTTTGGGAAGATTTTTAGAATGCGCTGCAGCACATTTTGATGACCACTCATGGCGTTACCCAGTTGGCAGTTCCAAAGATTGTATGTAGTTCGCGCCATAGAGAGAGCAGTGAACTGAATCACAGCTACGAGACGCAACAGTTTTAAGAGGGGGACAAGGTAACGAGTATCCCAGACAGTGGGACGCTATCGAAGGTTAGTCATCGGCGCGACTATCAAAAATGACGAGGCGGCGAATTCCTTCCTTGGAACGATCTAGGTCTTTCCAGAGCGATTTCGAAAACTTTCTCTATTTTTCTAGAAGCGTCCAGTTGAATATATAAGAAAATTGAAGCGCGTGTGAGTGCAGTTCCTACATAGATGCGTTTTTGTCATGTCATCAATTGTGAGTGATAAATTGTAATTACGGTTATAAATTAATCCATTTCAAGATTTATAGACCTAGGTATATAGTTAATTATATCTTAGAACCGGAAGTGAAACATAGTTACTAGAATGAATGTACTTACTTGTGGAGCTCGATTGTAATTGTGAATTCCGCTTCAAAAGTATACTCCACTAAAAATTTTGACACTATGGCTCTCCCCGTTATAACACGTTAAAACAGAAAGTGTATTGATTTTTTATAAAGCACGATTATCTTTGCATTAACTCAACTTTTAGGAGAGAGAAGTGAAATTAATCCCGTATTATATAAAGACATTGAAGTGCAGATACTCACATTGCAAGCACCCCCGCCTCTTTTCTCCTTCCACCATCTGGTTTTAAGCATAAGTAGTGTGCCTTCCTCTTGCAATTTTAAAATTGCCCCACTTATGGCTGTTCGAAAAGGCGAATCTGAAAATTAAAGTTTTTATTTTCTTTCTTAACTTTGAATGGAAACTTGTTACTTACTAGGTGGCATAGCAATTCCGTAACCTTTCGAGTCGAGAAGGCCGCCGATACGTGTTAGTTCACACTTTCTTTCTATTACGTATTCTATTGTAGTCGACTCCATGAGGTATGCGTAATTGCCTTTTCCTTTAAGGACACGTTCGACACCTTCGTTATTCGTAGATGTAAACACAGAGGGTCTCGTAGTCTCCATAAAAGACCACATTCGTTCGTACGTAGTAAAATTGGATTCCTTTGGGAAACAAGAGAAAACTTTTTAGAAAGCTCGACAAATTGAAAACGTTTTAATTAATCCGCCGCTGTACTGTACAACTTACTCTAAAAAATGAGGCCGTTGAACCGCCCTTTAAAGCGCCATATTTAATTTTAGTTTGTTTCGCTAAGTCTTCTGCACTCTCGATTGGAGAATCCATACGTTCAACAGTAAGAAAGGCTGCCAAATTTGCCGTGTACGACGATATCATTATAAGCGTGAAAAACCACCACATTCCCGCAACCATTCTCGTCGAAACGGCTCTAAAATTGATTTTTTATGTAAATAGATTATAAACGAACTATAACAAAAAATTTCAAGTTGTTATTAAATTATTCCAAGCAATAAAATGTTCTAAACTTAAAGCAAAGTTTGTATCTTTAAAGTTTAACTAGAACATTCGGGTGCATGTAACTTTTCAGTATTCCAGATATAAAGAAAGAGTTCACTGAACTATTAAATTCGTTGAAATGATTACCAGTGGATTTTATTAAATATTTCCTATTTATGAAAAGCAGAGGCCGAAGACATGCAACCCATTTACAGAAAAGTCGGCGATCAATAGCACAGTTACTCTTTCATGCGTTTCTATACAGAATGAAAAAAAAGGTGTAGTGAAAATTTTTATGACTTCTCTACAAAAGAATATTTTACGACGGAAAGATATTTTTGTTAGGAACGGCAATAATTCTAAGCTTTTATATAACTGTATAAGCCAGGTCTTTCCCAATCGAATACGTATATCCTGCTACCTAGTGGCATTATGTCATTTTAATTGAAGAGATTATTACCTTTTGGGCGAAAATTACAAACTTTCTTTTATATATGAATTGTATTATGAAGTTAACTTCGTTTTAAAAGAATTAAAACTTCTTGCGTATATTAAGGAAGCAACTTGCTTTATAAAGGAAGCCAATGGGGGTGATAGTTGTAACGTATACAATAGCACAAAACTCTGTTGTTTCAACTGATGGTAGTGCATTTTTTCTGTTTCATTTTAATGTCGCCTACTTAATTTCAGTAATACTAAACGGTACATTTTCAACCCTCATAGATTTACACTGGTGGTAAAGAGTTTTTCAACAGGGACTTTGCTTTTTGGTAGGGTCGAATTTGGTAAAAACACATGTGTTTTTAAAATTTCTCCAGTAGAACTTCCAAATTTACGATAACGAACGCAACTTCAATCGAAAATCGTGTTAAAATTATTTTAAATATATGGGATAAGCAATAATGACAATCAATATTGTGCTCGATCCTTATTGGATTGTGCAAAATAGTTTAATGATGATTGAATGTGTGCCATAATGATCTAGTGGCAAGGATACTCGGTTTGCAATCGGGTAGCTCGGGTTCGATTCTTTGCATGAAAGGTTTTTTTTACAGGTTATTTGTGGATTTAAGACTGTCATCTCATCTCAATTTTTTTTTAAATGCAAAGTTAAACAAAAATACTATGGAGTTTGCCGAAAGGATAACGCGTCAGCTATTTACGAATACCTACCCCTCCTGCACTCCAATGTCGGTGGCCTGCATTTTAACTCTCAGCCTCCATGTTTTTTTTAACACTTTTCTATGGTTACTTTCTTACTGTGCGCGCGTAAACCAATGCCAAACGAGCCGAATTGTGATCGAAACAATCAGCAATTAACAATCAACAATCAATAATAAACATCAGATCAATGTATTAGTATTATTCCCGACTCTAGTCTATATCCCTAAAAATCAACAGAACACAAAATCTGAACTAAAAAGTCAAAAATATAATTTCAGTTGGAAAAGTAGAAATATAATGAGAAATTATTATAAATATTAAAGATTAATGATCTTAACCCTTTTTCAACAAAATTTTATTTTTTACTTTTTACTGTTTTACACATTTGAGTGCCGGAGATATGGGGTACCGTAAGACAATTTTCAAAATTTGTACTTAAAAATACAATAAACATCGGACAAACGTTGCTGCTCTTATATCTGTAAAGAAACGCATTACACACAATTCGATGCCATTATTACTTATTTAAATAAATAAACAAATTTCATATTTACAAAAAAATGTTGGGGGTGATTTTTAGTGCAGGAGCTACTGAGTACCGTAAAGGCGTTTTCTAAAATTTGAACATCATAATCCAATATGAATCGAGCACAACTCCTTAAAGTAGTAGCTTAATTTGTACCTTTAAAAAACCGGGGGGGATGAGAGTCAAATATTGGCTCAAGCGTTTCAATTCAAGAACAACTGAAAATGGGATCACCCCAATTTACCACAACACTAACACTATTTAAAAATTTCGGGAGCTGTCAGCTGAACCTGATGGCGCTACGATCGTCGGCTCTCTGGTAAAACCACGTTTGGTTAACCTGTGGATATTATAGGTCGTTAACTATCCATCAGAGTTTAAAATTACAACTTATGAAGAAGAATTTAAGCCCACTAGTTCAGTGCAAAAAGTAATTTTTTGGAACTTATATTCTGGTAAGCACAGTACATATACCGCTTTATAGCGGGCAGAAACAAAAATATCTCTGAAATTAAAAGCGATAATAATGCGTGTATTTTCAATAAATGGCGTCTGGGTTTTATCTTTCGAGATAAGCGGACGTCGCTGCTATTTATTTTTATCCATTGCGTATTTATGAACGGGCCGCTAAGAAACTCTTTGTGGATAAATTGGTGACAATGTGATAGTTACCTACAGGTTCAATTTTCCATTAAAATTTGGAAGCTAGCTTTAATTTGTATCAAAGCCATTGGTTTGCGAGTGACATTTTCGAATTGGTGACACGTGATGTTCAGTAGAGGCTGAATTAAATGTACTGAATAAAAAAATCGTGGTGCAAAATAGAGATTTTCTCTTCGTTCACATCGCTAATGGCCGCGGCCAGTTAAAAACTGCTTTTCAAGGTCGGATTCAATTCCCGGGTAACAGCTTGGTGTTTTTCATCCTCGTGGTCGACTCAACCTCGTTAAAAATAAGTACCCGGGGTAACCATAGGCCGATTTGGAGCATAGTGCTTGCCATACTACTTCCCTGGAATTCGTTCTGGTTAGGGCAGGGCTAAATTAAGTGATCCTTATCCATTTATCCCGTAGAACGTCGTCAGATGTTCTAACGTGGGGCTATTATTATTAATTGGCATAAATTGGCATAAAGCTTAATTAACTGGGCAAAATTTTAATATCAACACAGCAGACATTGGCGTTTTGTTCCAGTGCATAATAACAATATCCAGTACTCATTTTGCGAATTTGGAGCTGGTTTGTTGGAGTTTACAAGACATACGGACATTTCTGCTTGGCATTCACCACGAAATTATGAGAGAGAAAGGAATCTCATGTTACTGAAAGTTGTATTCGTCGTATAAATTAGTGTTGTCGGTTTTTGTTAGAAATTTTTATATTGATTTTGTTGAACGACTTTGCTATTCCTGATGCAGTCGACCTATGAGGGCCATTTGTATAAAACGATGCTATATTGTATTTCATTCATTTAGTAAGAATCCGATCCAAGCAAGGGATTTTTGGTTATTTTGTTTAGGAATTGTATTTAATTTCGGTATTATCGTTCTTTTGGCTGGATTGAGATTTTGTTTAGCACTAAGGAGTTGCATATTTCCACAGAAGAATATACCAGTAATTCATCATGTGGTAAAATCTATAAATATTTAAAATTTAGCAGGGACAAGTAATCATGAAATTTGAATTACATTTTTTTTTATGAATCAAACCAATATTTTGTATAAAGAAACGTGTAAAAAAATGGAACCATTGCTTTTGTCTTTATTAGTATATTCAAACAACTAAATTCATATGCGTATTTACTAAAGTTCCATAGAATGAGAACATTAGATTTCAGTTTTTAGAGGGAAATAAGAGGTCAACGTCCGCAAGTTAACAGAATAAAAAGCATCTTTATTACTGAGCTATCCGTGGGTAAATTCAAAATTTATTGTCATATTGGGATTTCTGCCAGTGCCGTAGAGATTTAATTTTATTTTATATGTAAGTGGGGCCTCCCATTCTGCCAAATGTAAGCCCGTTATAATTAATAATAGACAAAATGTTTGCATCTGTGTTTCTGAAAATCCAAGAGAGGTTCTTTAAACAATCTTCATACCAGATAGTAACACTCCTCGGCCACCGGCTGTAGACAATTTTTGCAGGAATATACGACTGACCTCAAATTTTAACAATTTGAATTTCTGGGTTAACCAAATACTAAATCCAAAGCTATGGGACAGACCTTTCCCTTATCCTTTTTCCTTCTTCCCTGCCGCATCATTTTCCTTTCCTTTCTATTCGATTTTCCCCTCCTTTTCGGCCGTCGTCCTACAGCTATCACGCTGCCTTCTTGTCGTGCTTTCAACGTCATCTCGTTCACATTTTTCTTCTATTCTCCTTTACCTTTCTTCTCCCTCCACCTATCCTCTGTTCTCTGCCGCCCCTCTTCCTCATTCTTGCTTCTCCGCTCTTCCTCTAGCACTCTCTTATATATGGAAAACCTCACTTTTGAGTTTGAAGTTCTCGTATGATCCAAATTTACAAAATGTAAATTTTCATTTGAGTAAAAATAAAAACACAGGGCGGTTAATTCTCAAGTTTTGAGTTCCATTTCTGAAATTTATTATTAATTAAAATAAGCTCACAAGTCTGTTACCAGTTCTGCAAAAATTGCGAATTTTTAAAAATTAAGATGTCCTCAGAACGTACATAAGGCGGGAAATATAAATATGAATCATTTTCTAGATTCCTTCCGTTTATCGGACTCTTTAAAATGTGTCATTTCCTCGTAGTGTTTACTTCCATGAGAACCTTCAGGTCCTTACACGATCGAAACGTATCTTCTTTCTGCCTTTACATTCCTCAAAGTCTTGAGAAACATAAATCACTTCAGGTTGTTCTATGTATATGGTTCTTTTGTTGTGTTTCGTTGAGTTCTTCTACCAGCTTTAGTGAACACTCGGTACATGGAGGAACTCAAACGAGCGCTGCTTTCCGAGAAATTGTAACTTCCGGATGTATTTATTTCCTTTCTAGGAGTTGGAAATAGGAGATAAAAGAAATTGCATTGATTTGTAGCATCGTTTTAGCCACCGATAAGGAAACCGAGATGCCGTGTCTAGCTATTCGGTTTTCTAATTGTTAGCGTCCAGTAATTTTAATTATTCTTGCAGCCCCCATGATATGATTTCTGTTCCCTTCATTAGTTATTAACGGATTTCCCAATGTTAAGCGCGAACAAGCATTAAAACTACAAGGCAGAGCAGTTTTGTTAGTTATCACAGACCTTCTGCGGTTGGCCCGATATTCCAGGTAACAAGGGGTATGAATTTTATAATCTTAACCCGGCAATGCAAGTAAGCATAATTAGATGTATTGCAGCAAACCTCATCTGATTAGGTTGTGTTTGGTGTCAAGTGAAACACGCTTAATTAGCATCAATTTTAAGACTAGTCCCAGATTTTTATTATGACCGGAAGTCGATAAATTAATTAAAGAAATTTTAATTTTTGAATGTTATCACTCGAGTACGCCGACCGGCTGGAACTTCCGATGTTATTTTGGACCATTATTTATTGCACCCATGCACTTTAATTGAAATATGCTTGGAAATCGTCAACCTGGTACTCATTTTGTAACAAAAAACCAAAGACAAAAGCTTAACACTGGATCCATGCCTTTGTGTAACCCATTCAAGAGGTTTAATTGCGTTGTACTTGAACTTACCTTCTCATTGAATGAGAAACACCAAAATGTTCCACTTTCAGTAAAACTTTCATACTGCAAGTATAATTAAGAACAGTTGCCTATTTATTGAATCCGATGGGCATATGCCCGTCGATACCGCTTTCCATATTTCCAGTAAGTACCTTTGGTCTGCACTAAGATCAGATGGAATATCAGATGGTATATCAACTGAGATTGCTTCAAACCGAACGACACCTTTTTGTTCACAATTACTGAGAGCCTTCCCAATTGGCCCAGAAAATGCACTAGGTCCACTTGTAACGCCATCTAAACGCTGCAGTAAATGTCGTAATGGTAATTCATTAATATGCAAAAGGCACACAAGCCACTGAAGTGATCTACCACAGTGCATTTCTAACAAATGCATAATTCCTCCCTTTCTTCCTGTATTTACAACAGTTCCATCGCATCCTATTACAGAAAGATGCTCTGTGGAAATGTTTTTATTTCTAAGGAAATCTACGATACTTCTGTGGATACTTTGAGATGAACCGCTTGTAGGAGTACAGTGTCCAATAAAAGTAGAATCAGGCTCACTTACTAGAGATATATGTTCTTCCACGATAGTTCTTTTATAGTACTTGTTCCCTTTCTTTTCATTGACAATGGTCCTATCTTTTCGTCCGTCAAAAAATAACCCAATTAGTCCCTTCTCACGGTCTCGTAAAGCAAACTGCCTTTGTTGTACTCTTTCCCTTCGAAGTTTGCTCCTATCGATAACACTATGTGAATCTCTTTTTGATATGAGGCCAGCATCATGAAGCACAGCCGTTGCTACAGCGGCAGCTGCTCTGTCAGATAAACCATACCGATCAGAAACTTTTGCCAAGTTCGGAAGGCGAAGACGCATTTGTTTTGGAGCGACACGATCTTGAGACAGTTTAGCTTTAGAAGTTGAAGCTGAAACTTTATCGGGAGTCCCACAGTATTCATCTTCACTGGATGTATTTTCCACTGTAATGGATCCTACAGGATCTTCTAGTAACTTTGATGTGCTAGCAATGGCGGATGAGGAGGAACCAGCGCGAACTATCCTATTCTCTTCCAGTACGTTTCTTTCGCATCGTTTCTGTAGTTTTGCAGTTTCTCGTTGATCCACGTTTCCTATGCACATTTTCCGGTGGCAACGTTGATCGTCGAGGAACTCGCGTTCTTTAGCAGGAATTTTTTTAGATTTCACACACATACAGTTGTCACTAGCGCACTTGCAGGATGCTATATCAAACAGTTTTTTTCTACATTCTATCAGAAAATTCGATAATTTCTCCTGATAATTTTTCTCGTTTTGACGTCCCTTAAATGGTTTCAAAAGTTTAAGATATTTGTCATTGTGTGCTCGTATCAGCTGTAAAACTCGCGTATGAGACACTGTTGGAATTGATGCCTTTTTCCATATTTCTTCCAGCTTTGCTGCAACTGATTCACTTATCTCAGATACAGTCGGATCTTTAGATCCTTTAGAAGGCTTTAAAACTGATCTTGTAAACAAATAAAATTTTGCTACATCTTCGTAAGTCGGTAAAACAAGTTCGTTTAAAGTTTGTGGTGCTCCGAATATAGGACACTTCACCTGTTGTCTCGTTTTAGGTGGATTATTTGGCAACATTTTTAATATCTCTACACAAAAAAAACAGTCACAAGCAACAAGCACGTTTCACGAAATTATTCAAAATGCAACAACATTACACGACGTCTTGTATTGAACTACACTAATACATCGGATTTGTGGGCAGTTCCGTGATTGTCACATGGTTGTCACGTGATTGCTGCCTGAAAGAGAACTATTGTAGACTATTTATAACCACATACAATAAGAAAATGAAGATTAGGATGGAAAACGTTAAAATAGAAGCACTCATTAGTCATTATCCCTCGACTCAATATTACGAAACATTTATGGGCACCGGGGACCCTCTTGACATTGTCGAAAATACAATTTCTTTTTTTTTAATTACAAAGCATACAAGTACGCAAGTTTCTGCCGCTATTAGAATGTAATCATAAAAAACTCATTTTTTCACTCCACCCTACGTGAGTGAGTGACACCTAGCATACATAATAGTGTGGCATTTCGAGAACGTCCACTTTACATACTTTACGCAATTAATTTACATCTATAAAAGTAGGTATATGATATCAGCGATAAACATGTGCGTCCAGAACGCAAGGATTGTAACCAAGGTAGCAGTGACCTCTCCTGCTTCAGTGGTTCCGTCTTGGTCGACACAAAAATACAGTGTAAACAAAAGATGCTAGTCTACTATTGGCTAAAAGGTGACGATGGTCACAGAAATGTCGTTGGTTCCGTTTTCGCCTTTATATAAATAGCGAAACAAAAAGAAAAAGACGGATAGCGCCGTTGGTGAAATCGTAAAGATAGTCCACGCGATTTTAATGCCTGCAAAAGACGAATTAGTTTACAAAGTAAATTATAAGCGATCGACTAGATGTAAAATTCGAGGAAGCAATCGCTTAATCGCGGCGATAGACAGATGTCTTTTTGAGGGGGACACGGAAAAAGACTGGTATTTGCAAATTGCATTTATGAAGGTGCTAAATATTTCGGAGTGCGTCTATTTCGTATTTAAAATGATCTATGTATACCGAGTTCCCATGAAAAAAAACATGGTTACCATAACAACGATATAATAAACGAAACTTGAAGTGTGTTTTACCCCGACGTAAAGCGCGTAATTTAAGCATAAAGATAACAGTAAGTATAAATAAAACTCGTATAGACATCGCAGATACGAAACATAGATGTTTGATCTGGCAAATGTTGTGTTCGTTACTTCAATGAAAGGGGGCCTATTTAATTTTGATGAGTTGCATTTTTTGCATTTTTAACTCTGAAGTTTGCCCATGTCTCATAAAGGAGCTGCAATTACAAAGAACGCTGACTTTGCCCTAGGGTAATGTATTTATCGCCCAAGAATCTAAGGATATCTACGACGTTTTCCAATAATACGGACTAACTAGAGGTAATGTAAATTTATTGTTTGTAATTCGTAGCAATAAAAAACCCTAAACCATTACGAGTGGTCGAATCTTCTTCGAGAACAAAAAATTCCCTACCCCTTCACGAATTGTTTTTCAAAAAACAAAAAGATTCTCCCACTCAAAGTCAGGTCATTGAACAGCTACAAATTTGAAGACCACTTTTGAGTTCATTTAGCAGAATAGCAGGCTTTTAATTAGAGCACAAAAACTAGCTAGCAGCGATTGTGGTGCAAACAGAAATTTTTCTCCAACCTTAGACAACCATGTTGTAACTCACGACTTTATGACACCCCCCCCCTCATCATATTAGCGATCAAAAATGCTTATTTCGATTTGAAAATACTTATTTTGAATACAGGTGCTGTGAATTAAATTAAATTAAATTAAATTAATGCGGTATTTACTGCCTGCAACATTCTAGTTGAAAACATCAGCTATAGGCACGTCGGTTTTCCAACACAATTGCGTTTCCGTTATAATTATTGCTCCTCTACTGGAAGTGACCACTGTAATTCATTGTTGCACCATTATAATACAGAACTGTGAAATTCACTATTTATTATTATATCCTCACCAAAAGTATATTCTGTTACAGAAAACCGGATGTAAACTGAATGACTAATGATCAGTCTCCATATTTTTTCTCAAACACACAAGAATCCTCTTAGGGGGTTGTATCAATTAAGGTTTGTATGCGATGTGGATTCGGTGATGCATTACTAGTATACAAATGGGTTAAATTAAAGAAGGCACCTTTAATTAATAGTCAGTCATTATAGGGAATTCAAACCGCAACGCGCTGCTGTGAGAGGAGTAAGCTAATATTAATGAAAAGCACGCCAACCAAGCACGAATAAGGGAAAATCAAACATACCATTTGTCAACACGACCAAACAACTGCAGCGCTTTGAGAGATACCTGGGTGGAAATTTTGTTATTGAACTATGAGTAATTTCAAATTAATGATCAATGGGACATTAATTTTGCTCTCCAGGAGAGAATGCCGGTAATTGAGGTCCCACAAGCCAGCAGAGCCATTTTCGAAAAATGAAGGACGAAATACATCAGAATTATAGGCTGATTATAGGCCCTTTTTGGACACTTGAACAAATTTTCAGGCGGCATCCTTTAAAGAAAAAAACTATGGCTCTGCTGGCTAAAGACGAAGCTAGCTGACCACTTGTGAGATTTGCTTGGAAGGCGAAAAATTCAGATCACAAAATTATAGGCTATTTATAGGCTTTTTTTAGACATTACAACAAATTTTCAGGCGGCATCCTTTAAACAAAAAAACTATGATTTTGCTGGCTAAAGAAGAAGCTAGCTGACCAGATGTGCGATACATTATGCGCATGGCCAAAATTTTTGCCTTGTAATTAATATCGATCCATTAACAGTGACTGTATAAAGACAGTGTGGTCATATATGCTCTATATCCGCCATGTTTTTTCATATTCTTCATTGAGCTGATCGGTTTAATTGAATTGGTAGATTTTGGCATTTTTCTATGGTTACAATATTATTGCCACAACTGTTTGTGACTTGATCACCTTGGATTCCAAGTTAATTTCCGCCAACCCGATTTATTTGGTTAAAATATGGCGGATATCCTACCTACCAATAAAAAAACAACACCAAAGTATGACCAAACTGCCTCTATACAGTAGGTATACAGTCACTGTAGATCCATTATATTATTATATTATATTATATTATTATAGAAAGTACCGCAATCCATTGGGCCCGTGTGTTAGAGAGAGAACGCATGTTTTTTGCCCAAAAATTGCGGAAGTTACCAGATTCTAGTAACTTTAATGTTAGGGATTGTTCCATCTGTTTGGAGACATGTCAAGGAGGTATTTGAAATTTGAATTTTCTTTTACTAATAAATCAAATATATAGCAAGTTGTTGTGTTTCAGGTTTTAAAAAAAGTAATGTTAAAAGTGTCTTAGTTGTCTATGCATCTTCTCTTATATTATAGGAGAAGAAAAGTTGAAACGATATTCCTGAATTGGAAAGAAATACAAAACAAAATTAAAATTATTCGTCTCATTATGC